GACAACTCTTTTACATGACATGTGATTGTCACCCTAGGATTCAGACATTTGTTATCTAACCTTTTCAACACCAGACAAGAAAATCCCATCTTTGCAGAATGAAAGGTTGTGCAAATGGTTCTACTTTTCCAAGTTGCGTAATCTTTTTATCGTTATGTTAAATAATTTATCCTAACGAGTGTAGCATGATTAATTACATTGTAAGTTGATGAGAGAGTTTTTGAGTGATTGCATTTTGAGTGTGATTTGTTAGTACAGAACTCATATTCCCTCACACTAAGTGCTTGTGCCAGTTAACCATTGATCGTGAAATTGAATTTCTTTTAATTGGTTTCTCTCTGTTTGCTTGTGTATAATGAATTACTATGTTTTTCCTGGAGGTTTCTAGACTGTTTTCCCATGTGTATCTAGTCAAGTGTTTTTGCCCTGAAGGCTGCATGCGCAATGACAATTACAATACTGTAAATTGTGAAATGTTTTTGGTGGTTTTTCTTTTGGTGGTTTTGCTCTGATCTTTTACTGCAAAATCATGATACACTGTCAACAAATATGTGTTTTCTATTGCTATTGTAGTACAATCATGTACTATAGAATAATTATTTGTTTCAATGGCAAACTTCAAACACTGTGAATACCTTATTTTCCCTCATACCATAAAATTATACCACCATCAAAGTAGATACATTTACAGTATACCGTACAAAGCCTATTGTGGTTATACCTGTGGTGTTATATGGCTGTTCCTGCCTTGTCTCAAAATCCATGGATGATGTCTTGTGCTTTATATGGAATAAAGAAGGACAGATACATCAGTTGTATCCCAGTTGTATCCTGTAATGGAATAAGATATGAGGTTCATTTCTCTGTACTGATATCACAAGGGATATGATGCTTCTTGGGGTGATAGCTGGGTAGCAACACATTGATTTTTTGAGAGTTAGAGTTAAAGACATCCAGTGAAATTTCAGGGGAGCAAAACTTGATTTTCAAATCCAATCTTCTGCACGTTCTTTTACTTAAAAGTTGTATCAGGTCTATCTCACTGCATACTGATATCTGTGAGGCAAAAATGTGATGTTACTAATGGAAGATGGTTGCTTGTTTTAGGCTGGTTCTAACTACATGTATTTCTGGGTGGTACCCAAAAACAAAGAGATGCCTCACGTGAGCTATTTCAAGTACTAAGTTCATATATTTAAAAAAAGTATGGAATGATGACAAAAATGTGCTAAGAGTAAGAAATGGCAGTAAGTGTCAATATCAGACAGATTTCCTCATCCAGATTATTTTCTGTTTTGCTGTTCTGAAATTACATTGGATGGGTTTAACAGCAGGTGGGTAATTACCTATTCCCCTATGTTACTACTTGCATTCCAAGATAAAAGATATGTAATTGCTTACGATACAACATCTGGAGGCTTCTGCTGTGCACAATCCTTTGAATTATGAGTAAGAGTAGTTGTAATTGCATCAAAAAGTTTGAAGTGCTGCTGAGGCCAAGGAATATTAATGTTGTGTTTCTAGTTTCAGTCCTGAAAAAAACTATGGTCTGTAGGTAGGAATTTTGTTCTTTTGACAGTTTTGTAGATTTCAGCTAGAATTATAGACAGAGCTACATGTAACTGGAGGCGTGATGTCCAGAACAGCCGACTGCTGCCCACCCCTGGGACAGGGAAACCCGGCAGCAGTATAATCTAAACCAGGATAGTGAGTGTGAGTGAATTATTCCAAGAAATAAAGTTTAACATTATGTATAGAGACTATGTCAAGGACCCGTCCGCCTGTTTGCTTGTGGACAAATATTTCACCTGATTGACTGAAGAAAAAAACTGCTCCTGAAAATGCATTAAACAATGTTTCAGACTATTCAGAGCATTTGAAAGGTTTTTGCTGGGGTTGGTTGGGAAACTGGAAACACAAAATTTTGTTTCCTAGGCCTAATGACAGAATGCTGCATAGAAGGAACTTTTTTGTTCCCGGCAGCTGGTAATGACAAAAGGTAGTCAGAGAGGAGCCATGGTGTCCCACTATTGTAATTAAGAAAAGAAAGGTTGCTATCAGACAGGTATCTTTTAATACCAGTTGTTAATTTAGAGTGTACTGTTGGCAATGTTCCATAGTTTTCTGTATGAATTTTCATGAAGCTGTATAAACTGTGAACATACATAAGAGTATGGTGAAAAAATCAGGAATTACAGTATATTGATTTACCTTCAGACTCTAAAATAGATCTGTATCGGGTGTCTTATTGATCCACGATCCATGCTGATGTGCCATCAATTCACCCAATATCCTACCTCAGTATCCTATCATAGTTAGGACTGTCCCTGGTGCTGAACTTATGATTGTTATTGATGTCATTTGGTGTTCTTCCCAGTCTGAAGTTTTTTCATCATCTCTATTTCGTTTGATGTAAAATCATGTCAATATTGTATTCTCAGATCCTACCCTGGTATCTTATCATAGTTAGGATTGTCCCTGGTGCTGAACTCATGATTGTTATTGATGTCATTTGGTGAGATGGAAACTCTGGTGTTCTAGCTAGTCTGAAGTTTTTTTCCACCGTCTCAATTTTGTTTCATGTAAGATCATGTCAATATTGTATTCTCAGATCCTATCCCAGTCTCTTATCATAGTTAGGACTGTCCCTGGTTCTGAATTCAGAGTTGTTATTGATGTCATTTAGTGAGAGTGAAACTTTGGTATTCTATTTTTTTTCCATTGTCTCAATTTTGTTTGATGTAACATCATGTCAATATCGTATTCTCAGATCCTACCCCTGTATCTTATCATAGTTAGGACTGTCCCTGGTGCTGAATTCAGAGCTGTTATCGATGTCATTTGGTGAAACTCTGGTGTTCTAGCCAGCCTAAATTTTTTCCTCATCTCAATTTTATTTGATGTAATATCATGTCAATATTGCATTCTCAGATCCTACCCCTGTATCTTATCGTAGGACTGTCCCTGGTGCTGAACTCAGAATTGTTATAGATGTCATTTGGTGAGATGGAAACACTGGCGTTCTGAGTTTTTTTTCCATCGTATTGATTTTGTTTGATGTAGCATATTGTCAAGAAAATTTTTTAGATTTTATAACAAAGGCACCACCTTTTTTGTGCAAAACTTTGCACACTCGCATCAGTCTTGGGCTTCCAAGAGGATGTCATCCATATAATGAAATCAACATGGCCTAATGGAAAAAGTCAGAGCCAGCATATCAAAATGTTCAGTATATCCCATGCTCTCTCCCTCATACCAGTATATCCTTGCTATAGGGATATCGCAAATAAAATGTTGCATACTAGAGCCCCACAACACCGTCCCCAGCTGTTAATGACTAACTCAGAAAGAAATTATGTGCACATACAAGTTAGATGTCTTGATGGCAAATCCCTTAAAGCCAGAGATATTATGCCGGCATCTGATATACTCCTGCTTTCATGATTGTGTTAATACAGCCATAACTCACAACAGCGAGTGGCTCCCCTAGTGCTAAGTCTCCCCACCTCCTGTTGTAAATAAGGGCTCTTTACTGTTGCATGTCTTGTGCGCTAATCCTCAGTGGTATAAGTTCCCATCCCCTATGGATTGGTGTTGTTGTCAGCATCAGGTATCTCTGACGGTTTTTATTACCTATCTTGAAATGATGTAGAATCAACTGGTCCTGAGTGTACAGTCTGAATAGTGTTAACTGCAGAATACTGTAAATCACTTCATGTTGATGGTAGCAAAAGTTCACAGTCTTTGAAAAATGTGGTTGTTCACAGAACTGTATCATGTTCATATAGTAGCGGCAGGTGCAGAAAAAAGAAAGTCAGGAAATCATTCGTTAACGGTAATGATAAAACTTAATGTTGCAGAAGTGCCTGTGAAAACTGTGTGCATAAAAGTGCCATGAAAAAAACAGGAATGACAGCGAGTGGCTCCCCTAGTGCTAAGTCTCCACACCTCCTGTTGTAAATAAGGGCTCTTTACTGTTGCATGTCTTGCCTGCTAATCCCCGGTGGTATAAGTTCCCATCCCCCATGAATTGGTGTTGTTGTCAGCATCGGGTAGCTCTGACGACTTTTATTACTTACCTTGAAATGATGCAGAATCAACTGGTCCTGAGTGTACAGTCTGAATAGTGTTAACTGCAGAATACTGTAAATCACTTCATGTTGATGGTAGCAAAAGTTCACAGTCTTTGAAAAATGTGGTTGTTCACAGAACTGTATCATGTTCATAGTAGCGGCAGGTGCAGAAAAAAAAGAAAGTCAGCAAATCATTTGTTAACGGTAATGTTGCAGAAGTGCCTGTGAAAACTGTGTGCATAAAAGTACCATGAAAAAAACAGGAATGACAGCGAGTGGCTCCCCTAGTGCTAAGTCTCCACACCTCCTGCTGTAAATAAGGGCTCTTTACTGTTGCATGTCTTGTGTGCTAATCCTCGGTGGTATGAGTTCCCATCCCCCATGGATTGGTGTTGTTGTCAGCATCAGGTAGCTCTGACGACTTTTATTACTTACCTTGAAATGATGCAGATTCAACTGGTCCTGAGTGTACTATAATGCTTGTAATTTACTTGATGTTCACAGTAGCAAAAGTTCACTGTGTGAAAAATGGAGGTGTTCGCTTAACTATAAGTTCACGGTGGGGGCAGGTGCAGAAGTCAGCAAATCATTCGTTAATGGTAATGATAAAATTTAATGTGACAGAAGTGCCTGTGATGTACCAACATCAATTCAGTCTTTTAGCTGTCACTGTTGGACACAATGTATGTAATTTTGCTGTAAGTTTGTAATTTCCAACACCAAAAATTGGACTTACCCAAATTTTTGACTGTACAACTCAAAACAATTTGGGTAACTCCAATTCTTTGTATTGGGAAATTACAGTTTAAACTTATGGCATAATGATGTCTACCAACACAGATGAACTTTTGAGATGTATGTAATTTATTTGCTCAAATAAACCATTGATATATTTAGCACATATTCATTGTATTGTGTTTTCTACAGACTCATTCAGGAGTGCCTGCAAAAGAGAGATCCGCTGCACTTGCTGATCAATACAGCACAACAAGGTTCCTGTCAAAGGTAGGGCAGATCCAATTCCCCATAGATACAATTTTTTTTGGTCGTTGACCCAGAAGCAAGCGTGCATGGTCTGTATACAAGATCACTTCCATTGAGCATGAAATTTGCCTTCTAGTGGCCTGCATTAGTGATGAATTATTAACAACAACAGTGAACAGAGGTACATGTCCTCTGAGTCTGACATTTTTTATTTTTATTTTAAATGGAGGGAGGGACAAAATAGACAATTGCTAGTTGTTACCCTTTCTAATTCATATTCACTGCGTTTGCACAGTCCTTTTGCAAAAATTCAGTCCTCCATTTCGTATCATGTTAATACTTTCCCCAAGTCTATAACATTTATTGTTAGAACTACTTACATGTGTATATCTACTCAATATTTAGTGTAGTACAGGGAGGAAGATTCTGTCCACTGAGATGGATTGATTTTCCCACATTAAACTTCACAAAAAATCAGTGTTCCATTCGTAGCATGTTATTGCTTTCCACAAGTCTATAACATTTATTGCTAGGAGTGTCTATATCAACTCAATAGTTAAGTGTAGTACAGGGAGGAAGATCTAATTCTGTCCACTGAGGTTGATTGATTTTCCCACATTAAAGTTCAAAAAAAAAAAATCAGTCTTCCATTTGAATCATGTTAATGCTTTCCACAGTCTATAACATTTATTGTTAGGAGTGTCTATATCAAGTCAATAGTTAGTGCAGTCAACTCAATAGTTAGTGTAGTACAGGGAGGAAGATCTGATTCTGTCCACCGAGATTGATTGATTTTCCCACATTAAGTTGTTAGAGGAGTAAATGTGGTCGACTACATTGTGTGGTCCATTTCGATCTGACCTGACCCAAATTGTCCAACTAGCTCATAAAAGTGGAAAATGAAAAATGGATTATTCATAAAAGAGAGTTTTTGTAGGATTGAAAGAGACTGTTTTGGCACTGCTTCCTGGCAGCAGAATGGAAGTTTGAAAGGAGGCAGTCATACTAAACTTGGAAAGATTCCCTTGGGATGTTTGGCGGATGCGGCGTTTCAGTTCCAGTCATTTTATTGTGTATATTTACAACAAGATATTTATGGTGAATAGCATGGGTGAGTTACTTTTATCACATGGTGGTGTTAAACACACCAGTGGAGGACTTAACACTTTCCTACACTTATTTTGCCCAAAGCCTTTGATAGCTTTTTGGACCCCATTGTTGACAAATGATATCACACAACCTCTCAATTCAATCAATCTGTGCTCAGAGCTGTTGAATCTGTTATTACATTTGTATGTATTGATGGATGATTGCGATATTTGATCAGATATTGGAATTTAATATGTTTTGTAGGGCAAAAATATTTCACTGCCTGTTGCATGTATGTTGTTCTTTGAAAAAAACCTTACCAATTTGAAAATTGATTTCAGTCTTTGGGTACTTAAGAGTTGTTTGTGGCATTTTAGATTTGTAGTTGGAAAAAGAATAATACAATGGTTGTATGTTTGAGTGGTGAGTTTCTGGAGACATAAACTCACTGCAAATTGTTCCACGATCTAAAGTACTGTAACTCTTCAATGCACCTATTCCCTATTGGCTTTCTTCCTTTCACAAACTTATATATAACACCTCCAAAGGAATCAGTACAGGAAAAGTCTAAGTCAGCAATGTCACCAGCAATTCTCTGTCATGTAGTGATAAGAAGAAGTACATTTCCCCAACGGCTTCACCCCATCACCCATTCATGGCGGGTTATTGATTGTTGGTTAGGCTCTCACCTCCTGTCCTTTTGCTTGTTATTTTGCAGCTAACGCGGGGCGTTTTCTGTGGCAAGAAGTGCTGAGGAGGCTTAGTCATATCGGCAGAATCAATCTCGCCATTCACAGGTCTGGTAAAGCTCGTTTTTCCATTTAGTGGCGCAATCACTTGGGTTTAGTTGCTTACCTTGCACTTTAGATTGAGTATAACCCTCCCCTGTGAGTGCCATACTCTTAGCAATTTTAGCATAGCAATCTAGGAGAGACCAAAAATTGGAAAGTCAGCACAAAAGGAAACTCTGAACTTTCTGTGCTAAAAACTTGTACACATTTCTGTGCTAAAAACTTGTACAAATTTCTAAATATTGCTTGTCTTGCCATTTAGACTAAGTGGTACAATCAGCTTGGGTTTAGTTGCTTATCTTGCACTATAACCCTCCCCTGTGAGTGTCTTACTCATTATTGGGAGTTGTAATTTTGGAAAGTCAGCACGAAAGGAAAGACTAAACTTTCTGTGCAAAAACTTGCACACAATTCTACATACCTCTTGTTTTTCCATTTAGTGGTACAATCGGCTTGGGTTTAGTTGCTTAATAATATCTTGCACAATAACCGTCCCCTGAGTGCCATACTCATTGAGAGTTGTGATTTTGAAGAAACCAAAAGTGGAAAGTCAGCACAAAAGGAAAGTAAACTTTCTGTGCTAAAAACTTGTACAAAATTCTAAATACTGATATGATATGATATGAATCTTTATTGCATGTTCATGCCCAGATGGGCTAAATGCACAAGAGGGTATGCAGCACAAAAGGAAATACTGCTCGTTTTTTCATTTAGTAGTACAATCGGCTTGGGTTTAGTTGCTTACGTTGCACTTTAAGTTGAGTATAACCCTCCCCTGAGTGCTGTACTCATCATTGAGAGTTGTAATTTTGGAGAAACAAAAGTGGAAAGTCAGCACAAAAGGAGAGCCTAAACTTTCTGTGCTAGAAACAAAATTCTAAATACTGCTGGTCTTTCCATTTAGTCATCAGTGCAATTCGGTTTGGTTTAAGTTGCTTACTTTGCACTATAACCCTCCCCTGTGAGTACCCCCCCTATTCATCATTTTTTTCAACTTGAGAGTTATAGTCTTGGAGAAACCAAAAGTGGAAAGTCAGCACAAAAGGAAAGTCTAAACTTTCCGTGCTGAAAACTTGTGCATTCTAATATTACTGCTAGAAAAGAGAAATAGCAATCCATTATGTCAGAATCAATTTGTCAAATTACATATCACACTTATTTCCCAGATGGCTCTCAGACATCGTATATCTATCGACTCATATATTGATTACGGAGAGGTTTTTGCCTCATTTCCGGCAGGTATAAATTATAACTGTGGTATTTTATAGTTTTACCATGACAAAATCTGACAGTTTTACAACATTTCATCCGATAGTCTTTCTGTAATGGATGTCTATACCAGTGTGTCACAAATACATGTACATCTAGTTGAAGGGTCCATACACTCAATATGTCTATCTAAGTATAAACATTGACCCAGATTTTTATTTCGTGGACTGAACCCTTTTTTCTAGTCTTTATCTCTTTCAAATTAGTTTAATAGAAGAAGGTAACATGGTAACAGGAACTTCTGGTGATAGGAAGGCTTATTTTCTACTTTCCTCTTTGGCATTAAAAGCCAATTCATCAGATTTTACGGTATTATGCCTGTAAGCTTATAAGCTGGATGCGTAAGTAGCTTATCGGATTTGCGTTTTGGGAGGAAATGCACGGCATGAAAATAGTTTGATGGTAAACATCCATAGAACACTGAAATTTAGAAGTTAAATTTTTTTCAGGAAACACTTTGTCAAAATGTGATTTTATGGTATTGCTTGCCTTCAATATTTGTACCAATTGGTCTAGCCATCTTATAAATTATTAACGAAATTGCAAAATAAATGGCCAATGTTTTCAGGTTTAAAAGCCAGGCTTTGTAAAGATACGCAACCAGGAATCCGCCTGTTTCATAAAACTAATCTTCCTCAACGCCATCCATCAATCCATAAACAGTAGCTGTGGAACACGAGCGCGGTTAATTACCCCCGGTGCTGCTAATTGCGTGCGTGTGTGTAAACCGTTAATGAATATGGATGTGATGTATTGTGTCTACGGTTGTGAGGGTCAGGTGGCCCTATTGTGTAGTGTGTTATTTGAAGAAAAGAGTGATCGTCTGTTCTACAATATAGTTCACGCCTCAGTTGTTTTCTGTGTGCTAAGAATGATTGGATCATTTGTCTTCGACAAATGTATTTTTTTAATAGAATCACACTATTTTGTACATTGTGAGAGAAGCAATGGATGTAAATATCTTATCGGAAGAACTTAATTGCATGACAATATGCAGGTGAGGCTACAAGTACATGACCACATCAACTAGAAATGTATAAGTCTTTATCATAGACATAAACAAGTAAAATCTGAGATTTTTTACCTCCGGGCTTTGTATTATGTATATTTTTATATGTTGTTTGTTATGAATAGTTGAAGGTGTTAAATTTCTCTACATCTCTCACAAAACCCTTCCGCCAAAGGATGTCTCCTTCCCCGGAGGCAAAAAGACTGGGAACCAGCATAATCAAGAACAATTGATGTTTTAATTCAAGGAAATGAACTTAAAGGAGAGATCTCTCAAAGAAATTATACCAGAGAAAGAAACATGCAAAGAAATTTCTGTCAAAGTTTCCATCATTGTGCCTGATGTATTACATTTGCAGATTTTATAGAACGCAGTCCCTGTCAATTGTCCTAAGCAGTGGTCCAGAACAAAGGAGTCTGGTTATAATAATGACAGATAATTGACAGTTGTCTAAGTATGAACATGCAAAGAAATTTTAATCAAAGTTCCTGTTATCATTCATTGTGCCTGATATATTGCACTTACAGATTTTACAGAACACAGTCCCTGTCAATTGTCCTAAGCAGTGGTCCAGAACAAAAGTGTCTGGTTATAATTATGACAGATAATTGACAGTTGGCTGTGGTTTGCCGACTACACATCCGTGATTTGTGTCTTCCGTCCCTTCTCTGACGTCTCTGCGCGTAACGTGGCTGTCTGACATTTCCGAAGACACGCTGACATTTCCGTTGTCTTCTCGGTTGGCTGCCGGTGAGGACTCATAATCCCCCAACATGCCACTGTTAACTTTCTATTGAAAAGTCTTACTGCTCCATTACTCAGTCCATGGGTCACCTTGTGTTTCAGGTGGTATATATTACTGC